TGCACTTACCATTTGAAAGAGCAGTTCCTGAGGAAAAGGACTTATGCTACCTCAGACCCTCTCTGCAGTGTGAAGACCACAGCCAGGACAAGATGATGATGATGATGATGATGATGATGATGATGATGATGATTATTATTATTATTATCATTATTAGCCTCATATGCTGCCATTTTAGGACATTTCCCATGTCCTGAAGTTACAATGCTCATGGAATAAAGGCCCCTGTCATAGAATTAGAGATAGAAGAGACCACTGGGGTTATCCAATCCAACCCACTGCTATGCTGGAATCAAAGCATTCCTGACTGATGGTCATTCAGTCTCTTAAAGGAGACTCCACCACACTCTGGGGAAGAATATTCCAAAAGGAATTTTAGCAGGTGTTATTTGTCACACAATAATCTAAGAAAGTAGTACTTTTTGACACTCCCTCTTATGCACAACCACAAAAAGTCCAGCCTTATGTCCAATTTTCAATCCAGCAGCAACCTTAATACACTCTTCACCCCTCCCTCCAAGGGGAGAAGTTATGGCCAGCAGACACATGTCCTTAAAAAAGCACTTGATTTCCCATTCTTTACATTCTTCCCCGTTCCACCTGTATTCAAGAATTCAAATGATTATTTTGTACTATGATCATCCTAGCCCTCAAGACCCTTGGTTAAAGTTCAAGGAACAAGTCTGTAAATGGTTCATTTATTTTAGTATACTTAATCCTCCTCCTCCTCCCAAACCATCTTGCAAGCTGCCCCAAAGTGAAGGATTCTTTCCTAAAGAGAACTACCTGGAACAGATACTGGCACAGTGAAGTAACGTTGTTGCTTTGTTTTTTATTGTAAATGAGAAACTGTCTGTGACATTCAGGTGGAAGTATCTTATAACAATGGGCCTTCTGTTCCTCTTGGGAGTAAAATAACTAAAAATCCATCTTGTGGTGATACTCCAGTTTTGTCTCTTTTACCCATGAATGAGAAAAATAGACCCACTCAGTGGCCTTTTCATTACTTTTAGACCAGGGGGCAATTTCAATGGATCCAAGGATTATTTCTTTTTACCTTCAAATTTTACCCCCAAAGAGGGAACATCCAGATTTGAAGCTCTTGCCAAAACTATGCCTTGCTCAAGAGGAGAATCACTGTTTCTAGAGCTTCCTGATGATTTTAAAATGTTCGAGTTTCTCTCCTTCACCCACTTTCCCTCATTCACCCTCAGTTTATTAAAATTGATACAAAACTGAGTTAAAAATATAAAAGTAGTTTGCATTCAGTTAAAACTCAGTGGGACAAGAGAGAGGTGGAGGGCAAATGTTTGCCCTTCTCAGGAGGTTCAGGAAAAAGTAAACTGCTGCAGCCTCTTGTAATTTATGTGTTCCTCCTCGTTAATAACTTTTGCCATTGTGCTCCCTATAAAGTATATACATTGATAGAAACTCATGCACTGAGTATACCACCAAAATGTCATCATCCAGACCAACAACCTAATCACAAAGGCTGCCATAATCACTACACATCATGCCCGTTGAGGGGCAGGGATGTGGAGAACTCCTTGACCTATACCCTGTGTTGTCTGACTAGCCTGAGTCCTCATCCCATGGGGGGAAGCGTCAACTGCCCTGCTCCCCCATTGCTTCATGGGAAGCCTGCCATGGTCACATGTGCCAGTTCCTGGATAGTTTTATGACGAAGCCTTGCCAGAAGTTCCTCTGCATTGTGGGATCAGAGCCAACAGGCTCAATCATAAAACTATCATGGAACCAGCACATACCACTGAAAACAACCCAATGTGATGAGGTCACAAGATGGCCAAAGAACTCTGGTAACCCCAAGGTTTGCAGAAGCACAAAGAAAAACAAAGAAAGCAAGAAATAGCTCAAAGCACTGACCATTTTCAGTGAGTGCGAGATCCGATTGTCGGGTATAGAGGGATCTGAATACTGCAGTAGAAGGATGGAAAGGGGTGTCCTGGAAGGAAGCATAATTGGAACCTGAACAAGAGCACTTCATATTGCAAGATTTTACTGTAGGATTCATATAAACAGTATTAAAATGAAAGCATGTGTAAAATAACAGGCAATATTGTTCATCTTGTATAACTCTCTTATCATCTGGATCACAACCAGATACAGTGAAGACATCTGCCCTTGCGCTATGCTACTCTGCTGCTGAGTACGCTTGCCCAGTGTGGAACACATCTCACCACACTAAAACAGTGGATGTGGCTCTTAATGAGACATGCCGCATTATCACAGGGTGTCTGCGCTCTACACCACTGGAGAAATTACACTGCTTAGCCGGTATTGCACCACCTGACATCCGCCGGGAAGTAGCAGCCAATAGTGAAAGGACCAAGGCAGAGACATCTCCAGCTCATCCCTTGTTTGGGTATCAGCCAGCACGTCAATGACTTAAATCAAGAAATAGTTTTCTTAGATCTACAGAGACACTCAGCAAGCGAGAGTTCAAAAGTGGCAGGCTCAAACCCAGCACCTCAATCCGTGGGTGATACCAGATGAGAGACTCCCCCCTGGGCACACAGAAGACTGGGCGACTTGGAAGGCGCTGAACAGACTGCGCTCTGGCACTATGAGATGCAGAGCCAATCTTAAGAAATGGGGCTACAAAGTGGAATCCATGACATGCGAGTGTGGAGAAGAGCAAACCACTGACCACCTGCTGCAATGCAACCTGAGCCCTGCCACATGCACGATGGAGGACCTTCTTACGGCAACACCAGAGACACTCCAAGTGGCCAGATACTGGTCAAAGGACATTTAATCAGCTACCAAGTTTGCAAAATTTGTGTGTTTTTTATCTGTTTGTTTTGTTCTGTTAGAAATGTAATACAATGTTCTGGTTGCGGATGACACGATAAATAAATAAATCAATTGAATCATATGCTTACTGCCAGGTCTCTCTGTCCCATCCTACATCTCATATTGTTCTGCTTGTTAGTTAGAGGGTTAGGCAGGCAAACCAAGGGTTTCTCTTACTAGTAGAAATTATCTATATTCCAAATATATGTGGCAAGAGCAAAAGGGAGCATTTAGTTTGAGCAAAAGTTAGCAGGTGCATAACTTCTCCCGTTTCTAACCAGTTTCCTCCATGGAAGGGAGAAAAGGGCAGGGAACTCACCCACTGAGCCAAGGCCTTTCTGGGAAAATAGGTGGATGGGTTATCATCACTCACTCGGTTCCTCTGTGCAGGAAATAATAAGCGGAGCAATTTACTACTTACCACTGCTAATGCTTGGCTGAGGTTTTCTCCAAATCACGCCAAAATTCTACAAAGGTCAAATTTTATAAGTATATTCCATCACTGAGATCAGGGATGAAAATGGAAGAGCATAATTAGTTCCAGCTGGAGCTCATAGGATAAATCTTGCTGCAGAAAATCTGCATGTAATCCAGTGGAAGGATCTGATCTTGCCTTTGCCCCAAATTCCACAGAACCCTACAGCAACTTCCATCTGCAGCCAATGCAAGACAAGAGGTACAGAAAATGGCCCTCTAATTCCAGTTCTCAACAGAAATTAAAGACGTATAGAGTAAGATATAATTGTTATTGGTATATTTGTCTCCTTCACACACACACACAAAAAAAGCCATTTGAGTTCCTGTTGCCTTTTGTGTAAAGTTTGAGCACTCTTGCGTCGATGCTGTCTAACTTCCAGCATTGTCTGCTATTCCAAGCAACAGAACACACACTGGTAGGTTGTAGTGCTGTGTGTTGCATACACATATTAGTCAGATGCCACTATTCAGTTAGTTTCCTGCCCCTCCAAGAAAATAATATTGATGCCAAGGATTAGCCTGGCACAGTTAATATTATACACTTACCTAAGGTGTCCTCTGAACTTATAGAAGCAGGTCGTTTCAAAACAAAACTATGCTTCAGCCAATCTTCCTTTCCCACTTGAATAGCAAAACATGACTCTGTTAATGGTTCTTCATTCGGGAACAAAATATTGCTTTTCTGGTTGATAAAAGGCACGTTAAAGATTCTCACCAAGGCTGACTCCAGATACTCCTGCTTCTCTGTGCTAAGGTTTCCATTTTGTCTTCTCTTCTAGGTAAGCTGAAGATAATACATGTGTTATTTCCATGAAACCTGGAATGTGGGTTTTAGGTTGTTTGTTTTAATATGCAGTTTGACACAAAGTGTGCAGTTAGAAAAATGTGAAGATTGAAAAATGATAATGTATAGTTAGGAAAATGGGATGTTAAATGTTTATTACATAGGCCATGGTATCTATCAGGGCCACCCTGGTGAAAACAGAAGAAAAATGTGCTACTTCTGCAGTCGAGCTTTGATGGGGCAGAAAGAATGACTCTTCCACTGGTGTATGTGCTGCTAAACTGGGATTCAGAAAGTGTGTCCTGTTAGTTAATGGATAAGGCAGATACATTGATGGGCAAAAGTATGATAGCTGGGACCCTACAATATGCTACTTACACAACACAGGTAAGAAATAAGGGAAGACATGCGTGAGACAGCGGAGCGAGTGAGAGGCACAGGTGCAACAGAGTTGTGGCAAGATAGTTCACCAGAAAAGGGGGGGGCAGAAAGGGGGGGGCACAAACAGCCAAGCCAGAAAGGAGAGGACAGAAAGGGGGGGGACAACAAACAGGAAAGGATAGTGCATAAGGCGAGTGAAGTTATGTTAGAGACATTTACTGTTAAATGATAAACAATGGCTTACGAAGACGGTAAATAAGATGTTTCCTCTCCACCTTTCTGGTGAACTATCTTGCCACAACTCTGACACAGCTGCATCTTTCACTCCCTGCACTGTCTCACGCACGTGTTTTCCTCGTTAATTCAGACCCATGCTGCGCAACCAGTGTGGGTCCCAGCTATCATACTTTTGCCCACTAATGAATGGTTACATTGTTGTAAAATAAGAATTACTGACAACAATCAAGGATTTTATTGCATGATGCTACTATTCTGCACCCTTCACATGATCAGGGATAATGGTAATTTACCAGCATGATCTTCTCCAAGTGTGGTGCAACTGTCATGTTTCAGTGATCTGAGGCCCTGTGGCGGCACTGCCATTTCAGCAGCATAATTCTGCCTTTCCATAGTTCAACTACTCTGTATTTTCTTAATAATTCTGTTAGAAGGAACTTAATAATTCCAGTATAAAGAAACCTTCAAATCATATTTGCTTTGAGGGAGAGACCAATCTTGTCCCCATACATCACCTCTGTGCCTTGACCTATACAGCAAGTCATTACCACTCACTATCTCAGTGTCAAACAGTCAGTGGTCATCAACAGGAATCGGTCCAACAAAGGGCAAAGCAGAGGGATAGTCAAAGTTCAGTCCAAAGGTTCAAGTCAAGCAGTCAAGACACTATAAGCAAGGCGAAAACCATACTTTGTGTTTATCTGGCTCTCTCCCCTTAAATATGGAGAAATTTATATGGATGAAATATCTGCTGCTTCAATTCACATGACAAGTCATTCCAGCCTTACTTGATTTGAGAAAGTGTGTGTGTGTGTGTAGGGTACTGATGCATTACAGTCTGTCTGTCCATCTCTCGCCTTTTACTCCAGGTGCTTTCCAAACATATCAGTTTTGCAGATATCACCAGTTAGCCAGCCATGCTGATACTGTCCTGTGCCTCCAAGTTGCAGTTTCTGGAGAGTGTGCTGCGAAGGAACCTGCCTCAGACACTTCCCGTAAGTGTGTTGTCAAAGGCTTTCATGGCTGGAATCACTGGGTTGTTGTGAGTTTTATGGGCAGTATGGCCATGTTCCAGAAGCATTTTCTCCTGATGTTTCACCCATATCTATGGAAGACATCCTAAGAGGATGCCTGCCCTAGATGTGGGCGAAACATCAGGAGATAATGCTTCTGGAACATGGCCATACAGCCCGGAAAAATCACAACAACCCACTTCCTATAAGATGCAGACACCGTCCTGTCTAGGGATCATTATCAGCTTTTCCTGAACAATTAACAGAGAACCTCCCCATCTCTCATATTCCTATATACTCATTAGGGAAAAGCTTCATGTATTTACCATTCAGTATTTATTAAGTTTATATATGGTGGCAGACAAATGATAAACACAAATTGGTAACACTTATTAAAAATGGAGAAGGAAGAAGAACAAGTAAAATTGGACATGGAATTAGAATATAATATTCAGTTAGAATAACAGGAAAAAAATATGGTCAAAAGTTTAGTAATAGTTTTTAAAAACAAAGTAAGACAGCCTTTTGTGCCATGGACCAGCTGCCCGTAACATTCAGATGTTCTTTAAAAGTAACTAAACTTACTGTTAACAAATGGAAGTTGCTTTTAAAATGTAATCAACATAGTAACTAGTTATTTTGGTGGCCTCTGAAGCTAATTATTAAATAATTAATTATAATTAATTTACTGTCTATATAGTAATGTTTTACATTAAAGCCACATTACATCCCAACCCTGGGAGAAAACCAAATACATAAATGAATAACTATCCTTCATGAATTTCCCTAATTTGTGGGAATGATGGCATCTTCTGGCAGTTTATTACACTATCCACTGTGTGAAAAGAATGTTTGTCATGCCATCTAGCTTCACATCAGGCCACAAAGAAAATCTTAACATCCACAGATATTACTTTTTCTCACAGGGGAGTCACTCTAACACTCTGATAATTTTTGTTGTCTTTCATATTATCATGGAAGCATTGTGCTTATCTTTTGCTCTATATCAGCCTAACTCCATGTTTATTTAACAGATTTATGGGGCAGTGATGCACATCAACCGTGGAAACCCCGTTCAGCATGAAGCAGTAGTAGACTCTTGGCCTGAGTTTAAAGCTGTCTTTACACGCCCACGTAAAGGGGTAGGTCATGAAATCTAAGTACTGGTCTAAATATGGTCAGTTCCAAGCATGTTGAGGTTGTGGACTACTAAGACTCCTAGATCTCTTTCACATGGATTGTTGTCAAGCGAGGTATCATTTATCTTATATCTGTGAATTTCATTTTTATTGGCTAAATGTAGTACTATACATTTCTCTCTACTGAAATTCATTTTGTTATTTTTGACTCAGACCTCTAGTCTGGTAAAGTCATTTCAGATTCTGATCCTGTTCTCTGGGGTATTACCTATCTTTCACAATTTGATGTCATCTTCAAATTCCATAAGCATGCCTTCTAGTCCATCATAAAAGTCAATTATAAACATGTTGAATAGTTCTGGGTCCAGGGCAGAATCATGTTGCATCCCACTGATCACTTCCCTCCAGGATGAAGGAAAGGAGCCCTTGGTCATAACCCAATCAATCAATTCCCAATCCACTTAACAGGAGCAATGTCTAGTCCACATTTTATTAACTTTTTTATGAGAATGTCATGAGGAACCTTGTCAAAGGCCTTACTGCTATATCTACAACATTTCCTTCATCTGCCAAGCTTGTAACTCTCTGAAAAAAGATGAGGTTCGTTTCTTATGACCTGTTTTTGAGAAATCCACATTGACCTTTAGTAAGCATGTCATTACTTTCTAAATGCTCACAGATTATTGGTTTAATGATCTGCTTTAGAATCTTCCCTGGTATTGATTTTAGGCTGACTCAGGCCCCTTCCACACAGCTGAATAAAACATTTTCTGATTTGAACTGGAATATATGGCAGCGTGGACTCAGATAACATAGTTCAAAGCAGATATTGTGGGATTTTCTGCCTTGATATTCTGGGTTACATGTCTGTGTAGAAGGGTCCTTGGTGGTAATTTTGGGTCCTCTTCCCCCTCCCCCCTTGTTTGATAGGGTAACATTTGCCTTCTCCCAGTTTTCTACAATTGCTTCCGTTCTCCAGGAATACTCAAATAATACTGCCAGTGGTTCAAATAATACTGCCAGTTTTGTTACTACCTTTGGATGTAGTCCATTGGGTCCTGAAATTACTTCTGCCAGTTTTGTTAATACCCTTGGATATAGTTCATTAGGTCCTGGAGATGTGAACTCATGTAGATTAGCCAGGTATTCCTGTACTGCCTCTTTACCTATTCTGTAATTACCTTACTCTGCTCCATTCGTTTTGGAGAAGACTGAGGCAAAGAAGATGCTGAATAGTTCTGCCTTTTCTCTGTCCTCTGTTAGCTTTCACCATCACCTGTACACAGTGGTCCTGCCATTTTCTTGTCCTTCCTTTTGCTATGGACATAATCCAAAAAGCCCTTTTTATTGTTTTTAACCTCTCTAACCTGACTTTTCTAACTTTCTCTCTACCAATCCTGGCAAATCGATTTGATGTTTTCTCTCTATTTCCATTTCTTGTACATGCTCCTATTATATCTTCGCTCAATTGAAAGTGCCTTAGTTTCTTCAGGCTCCTCCTGTTTTCCATCCTTTGAAGCTGTGCCTCCAATATCTCACTTTTCAGAAACTCCCATCCATCATTAACTCTTTTTAATATTTTTCACCGTGAGGTCATGCTCAGTTTTCCCCTAAGTTTATGGATGTCAGCTTTCTTAAAGTCTAGAGTGTGTGTCTGTGTCTATACTTCACTTCCTCTTTTTGCTGTATAACAAATTCTTGAAGGATATTTTCATTGTTCTTCAACACTAATCTGATTCATCTTTCTCTTAAGGAGCCCAACCCCACTTCTTGCATCTTGGCAGTAGCTGTGATTTCCTGATGTAGCTTTATGCTATCTTCTACAGGTGGTGAAAGACAAATTGGATTTTTATGCCAATTTGTATGCTGTTTTCTATTCAGACATGGACACCTGTCGAGCTCTCTTGGAAAATGAGGACATCATTGACTGGGGAAGAGCTTTTCAGCTGCAAGGTGGGTCCCTGCAAGTGAACAATAAACACATGGGCTGGATCATCCTTGTGATAGAGATGCCGATACAAACTGGAGACTGAAAGCACATTTCCCACCCCATAAGATGTTCACTTGCCTACTTGACCCTCAGTAGGCAGTTTATATCATGTGTGGCATCTCCATCAGAGGGCTAGATTGCCCCTCTGATGGAGATGCCACACATGATATAAACTGGAGACTGACAACACATTTTCAGCTCCAGCAAATGCTTACTTGTCCACTTGATCCACACAATTTCAGAGCACGAAAGAATGAGAAACCCCCCCCCCCCAAAAAAAACCCCGGTATCACACTAATTGGACCAGGTCCAACTGTGTCAGCTGTTGTTCACACAAGAACCCAAGACAGAGGGGCGCTGGAAGGTCTCTGGAGTCATATTGTTACCTGTCACAGATGCATTCAAACCCATCTACATACTGTCAGAGCCAGTCAGTGAGTTCCTAGAAAAATCTTGCAAACAAAATACAAAGGAAACAAATTAGTGGCAGATGCCATCAACACCACTGAATTTTTTATATCTTAAAAATATTTTTCTCTTGAATAATTGCTGAACATAAGCAGCTTAGACACACACAGTTCATGAAACACTGAATCATTTTTCCTCAAAAACATTTCATACAGTGTGTTCTTTCCCTTTTTGAACTTTCTATTGTGTTCTTAATGGCTGAGTCTCTAGTTTTTTGCACACACCCAAGTAGTTTTCGGCTGGAGTGGGGACAGTTTTATTATATACCTCAGTAATCCACAGAATCCTTTCCCCCCAGATATACATTGTCCATTGTATATTGGTACCTTAAAAACCAGAAAGCATCTACACTTGGAGAAATTTACAGTTGGCCTTCCATATTGATGATTCAACCATCCACAACTTGAATTTAAAAAAAATTCCAAAAAGAAACCTTGATTTTTCTATTTTATGTAGGAGACACCATTTCAATCCACCATTACATATAACATGGTGAGTGCTCATAGATTTTTGGTATCCATGGAAGGTTCTGGAACCAAATCAAAGCAGATACCATGGGCCCACTATATTAGGAAATACCACTCTCAGTCAATCATTGCCATATAAAACTTTGTTTTTGTTTTAGTGTTACTCTTCAATGGCTATACAAATACAGTAGTTTAAAAGTTACTTCTTATTATTCACACAGTTTTCCAAGATGGGATATGTGAAATTATCCAAGATATAGCAAAGACCACAGATGTCCATCTGAAGATAGACAATTACGTACCGCTGATACATCCAAAACCATCTACTCTATCTGAGAGCCGGTCAGTGCATTTGATCCCTCCAACCTGCCATCACCCTAGCTGCTCAGAAGGACTGTGAAGTCAATGGAGCTCTTTGGTTAAATAAGGCCCTTCTATACTGCCATATAATCTAGATCAACCATGCAGATAATCCACATTATCTGCTTTGAACTGGATTATATGAGTCTACACTGCCATATAATCCAGTTCAAATCAAATAACCTGGATTTTATGGCAGTGTAGAAGGGGCCTATGAGGCATGTGAGGCCCCTTCCACACAGCTGTATAAAATCCACATTGAACTGGATATGGCAGTGTGGACTCAGATAACTCGGTCCAAAGCAGATATTGTGGATTATCTGCCTTGATATTCTGAGTTATATGGCTGTGTGGAAGAGCCCTGAGAATCCTGTAACTAATTTATAGTGTAGTTGTAGTAACATTATAGTTTTAGATAATCCAAACATGCAAAACAACCCTTTTTTGAGAACTTCAAGCCTTATCCACACCTCCACAGGAACTGGGAGCAAGAGAATTCTGCTCCTCTCAAATCCATGCATTTATTGCAAAGTCTAAACCTATGGGCCTGGGGGATTTCAGACATTCTCATAAAAATATGTGATTGTTTTTTCAGGCTCTGGCTCATTGCACACATAGGGAAAGTAATGATGATTTCCCTATCTTAGCGTTCCTCCTTTAGCAGGCTTAATAGAGCTTTGGCATCACATTGTCAAGCCACTCCAAATGAATATCATTCTGCTATGCCTCCTCTTTCAGGTGAATGCTCTGGGGCTGATAGAGTCTTCCCATGTTACAGCTTTTATGTTGGAGGTAGGAGTTTTAATTCTGAATGGGAAGCATCCTTTGCTGTAATTTGGCAATAATTAGATAATACTAAGAAGGAACCACCCTCTGGGGGCGATTTTTATAAGGGTACATCTACACTGTTGAATTAATGCAGTTTGATACCACCTTGGTTGCCATGGCTCAGTGCTGTGGTATCATCTGAACAGTAGTTTGGTGAGCCAAAAACACTCTGTGGTACAGTCGTTTGGTAAGCCAAAAGCAGTGCACCTCCTATGATTGCATACCATTGAACCATGGCTGTTAAAGTGGTTTCAAACTGCACTGATTTGCTGAGTAAGTGCACCCTCAAGCTTGATTTGCTTCTGTGAGTCCACCTTTTCCCTTATAAATATCTTTAAAGGCAATTCTTACAGTTAAAGCTTGGCTTTTTCCTACCTGCAAGGAAGTAAACTCCTGAAAATTGGATCCCCACCAAACCAGTAGAACAAATGTCATCACATTTAGTGTACAAAATATTCCTGCCCCCACACTGTGCAATAAACATAACAGTTTGTTTCTCCACTTGTTTTTCCAAGTCATTGACTGAAAATCCAAGACCTGCAGGTCATTCAAGCTCAGGACTTTCGCTTTAAAGTTGTTCTTGTGTGTTATGTGTTCTCCAAGAGGTTGCCTCTGTATCAGCCTAGGATGAATATTCAAGGCTTTCTGCTTGCCCACACAACCCTACTTGTCTTTGTATTTCAGGTTCAAAAGTGACCTCCTCCACTTTGGCACCCTCAACCCATCCCACGCAGCCTCACTCAATGACGTTTGGGACTTTGGGGGCAATGATCTGAGCCTGAACTATCTGGAAAGCTTGATCTGCAACTTCCCTAGTGCTTGCCTCCTAGATAAGGATGGCCAGTTGGCTGCTTGGTGCCTTATTGATCCTTATGGTTGCTTAACACATGGCTACACCTTCCCTCAGTATCGGGGACAGAGGTGGATTGGGCTCATCCTACAGAATTTAGGAAGAAAGATGCATGCTCTTGGCTTTCCTCTGTATGCTGCAGTTCTGACAGGAAACGAACCCTCCATACGATCACTACAGCACCAGGGGTTCCATGTTCTTCCTGGGACATATTACACACTTATTTCGACACCAGTCCTCAACCCCAAGAAATAGCAGAGAGGAGTAATTTCTAAAAATAACCTAAAAACCATTTAAAAATTGTTTTCAGAGAAGAAACAAACAGATGTTAGGCTGGAGTGATAAATTTAAAGCCTTGCTTTGGTCAAATTTAAGATTAAGTTTAAAGCATCAGTACTTTAATAATAATAATAATAATAATAATAATAATAATAATAATAATAATAACAACAACAACAACAACAACAACAACACTTTATTTATATTCCACCCTTCTCACCCCGAAGGGGACTAAGGGTGGATCACAGTACATATGCTTTTATAGACAATACACAGGCAGACAGAACAGGAGGTGGTTGTTTCAGCTGTTTTTGGTGCCATGGAAGGTTGGGCTCAAGTCCAGGGGGTGCTGTTGCTCCATCCTCTATGATGAAGAGTCGTCAGGACTTCCTTCTTCCTTTTGGTCACCCAGCATTTTCTGATCTTCTTTCTTTATGGCGTTGTAAAACACCTCCCCTGCTTTTTAGCAGTACCTAATTTCTCTTTTGACGTAGAAAGGATGCCAAGGGAAAACATCCCAAATCCAACATAACCTACAGACCAGAAAATGCATGGGCATTTTATAAATGTTTGAAAGACATTGGAGAGAATAATCATTTGCTGTACTGTTGAAGGCTTTCATGGTCGGAATCACTGGGGTGTTGTGTGGCTTCCGTACTATATAGCCGTGTTCTAGCAGCATTTGTGACTAGCATCTTGAAGATGCCAGCCACATGTGCAGATGAAACGTCAGGAGAAATTGCTGCTAGAACACAGCCATACAGGCCAGAAACCACAGAATACCCTAGTCATTCGCTGTGATTGGTACAAATTTCAATCCACAATCTCATTTGTTCAAAAATACATTTGTGTTTGCAAGGTGTACAGTTTGTGATTGGTGAACAGTATGGCAGGAAACTGAATAAATCTTTTTATTGGAGGAATTCTGGAGCTGGTTTTCTGATAAGTTTCTGCCTGCAGGAACTCATCAGCCTGGGATGAGTTTTCTTTGGGGAAACAATGTTTGTTGATCGATATTGGCTGGCAAAGCCAAAATTGAAGAGTTGCATTTTAAAATATTATGACTGTAACTGAGGCTTGTTATAGTTTGTTGTTTGAAATGTAACTTATAGATTTTTAAAAGTAACTGTGTAAGTTCTATTGAAAGGAGATGGATTTATTATCTTCTCTATTTAAAATTGTATAACAACAACAACAGCAATAACTTTATTTTTGTACCCCGCATCCATCTCCCCGAAGGGACTTGGGGCAGCTTACATGGGACCAAGACGGATCAACACAGTAAAAAAAGTAACACATTAAAATGCAAGCACCAGTATAAAACAAATTAAAACAACATTATATCAATATATAAAACACACCAATCAACAACCAATAACAAATTCAATTTATTGTATGGTATGGGCATCCCTAAAACATCCCCTCAGTCAGGAACCATAGTTGCAATCTGCATACCCTTTGCAATGTTTTGGTTGTTTGTATATTGTTGAGAATCTGGTCTAAAAAGCAGCTCATAAATAACAGAAATATCTTAATTAATTTCTCATAAGACTGTCTGCCAATAGATTTTTTTTGCAGATTTAAGTGGTGACTGTTTTAAACCATAATGGTCAGAGGATGGATAAGAAAGTACAGTGTCACAAATCTGTGACATTGAACAGATATCTATCCATGTCGATAAATATCACTAAAAAGGAACAGAAAGGCTGCCCCCAAATTATAGTATAAATGTGGATATCTCACCATGTTAACTACCTTTCTTTGGTGACAGGATAAGATGCTTCTGCAAGGGAATAGGCAATGCTGCTAGGAGGATCTCCCATGTCAGACAGGCTTTTGCTGAGAAGCCAGCCTAGGGACCTCATCACATTGATGAGGTCTTGTACAGCAATCCACCCGCCTTTGTGGTGAATTGGAAAGGTAGTGGGCTAATCCCAGTGCTCTGCACCCCCAACTCGCCAGCAGCAACAACACTTCCCAATCACATGTGGGGAAGTGTTGTTGTGCGGCTTCCTCCCGCAATGAAGCCTGGCCAGAAGTGAGCCTGTGTCATCTGATGGCCAGCATTAGGCTCCATGGCTCCACTGGGGCCAAAGTATTCTATCATGATAAAAATGACTAATGTGATGAGGTCATAAATGAACCAAATAGCTATTGGGAAGCTGCAGCAATGAGAAGGTACACTGGAGAAGGATCTGTCAGAAATGGAAAATGGCAGTGATACACAGAAGGCAATTGTAAGCCTTCTATCTTGAAACCATAGTGACGGAACAACCTAAAATGAAACCAAAGACATAATCAGAAATTGTGATTTTCAGGATAGAAAGCGACCAGCTATTGGGGAAGAGCAAAGATATAATTAGCACTGTGGTTACTGATGAAATTGGACTCAAACTCAAATGATGCCCAGCTGTTGCCATTGTCAAAGGTGAAAGAAAAATTTGAAGCTGTTAAAGAAAACAATGGTAAGCCACTCTTGAAGCCTTTTGCTTTGAAACCCCATTGATGAAACAATCTAAAATGAAACCAGAAAGAGCATGAGAATATGTGAACAGAAGGGTTGCCATTTTCAGAGGTAAAAGAAAAAAAAAATGAAGTCACGTAAAACATATTATAGGAATTTGGAATGTAAGAAGTATACATAAATCAGGGAAAATAGACATTATAAACAACAATTGGACATTAACGACCTCATCACACGGGGGTAAAATTGGTGATATACGCCTATCTAACCCTGGTCAACCATTCAGCCGGCCAGCTCCCATTATATAACATTGTGCTGGCTCTGTGGGTGAAGAGGGCCAGAACTGGTGCCCTGCTGCCACCGTGGCAACCACTGAATTTAATGGAGGGAAGCTTCACATGAACACCACACTTTCCACCATGGGATCAAAAGCCAGAGGATCTAGGCAATGCGGAGCATGGGGTAGTGGCTTTCCCACGCCCTGTGGCAAAGTGAAGTTGACATCCACCTTTTTTGGCGGTCATATGGCGAGGTAGATAGAGACTGTCATACTTGAGATGACTGAGCTAAAGTAGACAGGAACTGAATATTTTGTTGGATAATTGCATTGAATCCGTGGAATACATTCCCATTGCTTCAATAGCCCAGCAATGGTTGAGAGTAGCAACTGATTTCCATTCTTTTTTCACAGTCAGGCTTATTCCTTTGCTGGTAGAGGTGAAGATGCTCCCCCACCTTCTTTCAATCTACAGAAGCTAACCTGATTGACAAGTGAATCTATTTCCACAGTTAATGCTGATATACCTTTTCCCACTACACTTCTGGGTGACATCCTAGATTTGGAGTTCAGGACAATGTGCCTGGAGCATGAATTGTCCTCCTCTGACATAGAAAGCTGGGAGGTGTCTGCTTCTGATGCTGCTCAATCTACCTGCCCCAGCACCTTCTACTTGAAGAAACTGTCTTCTAACCACTTCATCACACGGTCCTTGGGAAATGTTCCAGAATGCTTCAGGGAAGCTTCCTCAACCGAGCCCGCTGGATGCCATCACACAACATAAGGCTTCTTCCTGCTGGGCTCCTTAGAGGAAGCATACTAGTAGCATGCTAGCATGCTTCCCAGAGAACATGGGAGGCTTCCAGTGTTCTAATTCAGAATAATGGGGGGATGCTCACCCCCCCCCCCAGGATAAAAGGCACAACAGGCGATGTGGGGCATGGGACAAGGCTTTCCCCCTCCTGCCTGCCAGATTTGCCACACTGCATGGTGAATTTCCCCGCTGCTGTCTAGCTTATTGACCTCAGTGTGATGAGGTCCGAAGTCTAAGAATTATGGGGGGCAATATTACATAATATATAGACATATTTAAAAGAACTAATACTTAATAATACTGAAGTCCAGAGTTATTGTGATGTTCACCTGGAAATGCTAAAAGCAGCAAATAATTTTAGTTCTCAACAGAAATTAAGGATGAATAGGTTCTTGTGGGTTTTTTCGGGCTATAGGGCCATGTTCTAGAGGCATTTCTCCTGACGTTTCGCCTGCATCTATGGCAAGCATCCTCAGAGGTAGTGAGGTCTGTTGGAATTAGGACAATGGGTTTATATATCTGTGGAATGGCTGGGGTGGGCAAAGAGCTCTTCTCTGCTCGAGCTAGGTGTGAATGTTTCAACTGACCACCTTCATTAGCATTTGAAGGCCTGGCCTGAGCTTGGGAAAATCTTTTGTGGTGGTCAGTTGAAAAATTCACACCTAGCTCCAGCAGACAAGAGTCCTTTGTCCCACCCTGGTCATTCCACAGATATATAAACCCATTTTCCTAGTTCCAACAGACCTCACTACCTCTGAGGATGCTTGCCGTAGATGCAGGCGAAACGTCAGGAGAATGCCTCTAGAACATGGCCCTATAGCCCGAAAAAACCCACAGGAACCTAGTGATTCCAGCCATGAAATCCTTCGACCAGGCATGTAGCCAGGGGAGGGGCTTGAGGGGCTTCAGCCCCCCCCCCCCAAATTCTCATGGTGGTCCGCGAGAAGGCCTTACTGGTACATTATTTAAACTGTTATGTTTATTCATATCATGATCTGATCACCATGCTCAATATATCCCATATGCATGGCGGTATTGGGGTAACGATACAAAAGGTTTGCTAGGGTAGACCCTCTTTCACTCAGACTCAGCACCCCCCCCCCCGAACCAAACTCAGCTCCCCCTGAATCAAAATCCTGGCTACAGGCCTGCCTTCGACAATACATTAAGGATGAATAGTGTAAGAGGTAATCATTCTTAGTTCATCCATATCCTTTGGTTTTAAAAAATGTCAATGGACTTTCTGCTGCCTCCTTGTGTAAAGTTACCGCACTCTTTTGCATTTGTGCCATCAAATTTCCAGTATTTTCTAAGCAATAGAGTAAGTACATTAGGAAAATACACTGGTGGGTTGTAGTACCGGGTGTTGTTTTCACACGTTACTGTCACATGCCACCATGCAACCCCTCCAATAAAATAATACTGATGCAAAGGATTAGCCTGGCGCAGTTAATATTATACACTTTCCTGAGATGTACTCTGAACTTACATAAGCAGGTCATTTCAAAACAAAACTGTCTTTCAGCCAATCTTCCTTTCCCACTTGGATGGCAAAGTACAATTCTGTTAATTGAACTTCTCTCGGGAATAAAAAAATTGCTTTTCTGATTGGCAAAAAGTCACATTAAAGATTCCCACCAAGGCTGACGTTAGGTACTCCTGCAGCTCTGTGCTAAGATTTTCTTTTCTTCTTCTTTTCTAGGTAAGTAGTAACTGTCACTGAGGATGAAACATGAGTAATATTTCCTTGAAACCTGGAATGCTGTTTTGGGGGTGTTTATTTTTAATGTTCAATTTGACATGAAATATGCAATTAGAAAAAAGTGTACAGTTTCAAAAATGATAATGCACCATTAGGAAAATGGGAATGCACATTAAATGTTTATTACACACGTCATGATCTTTATCAGAGTCATCTTGGTGAAAAGAGGAGAAGCTCCATATTGGAAATGTATTACTTTTTGCAGTAGAGCTTTGATGAGGTAGAAGGAATGGTTCTTCCACTAAACTGGGATTCAGAAAGTATGTAGACTGTCCTGCTGGTTAATAGGCTAATTCAGATTCCAAGATGAATTGTTACAGTGTCGTAGAATAGAAATTATGGATAACAAATTAAAGATCTTTTCACATGATGCTACTGTCTCGTGCCATTCACATTATTGGGGATAACAGCAATTTACTAGTATGATTGCCCTTGTTATCACACCTCTTTGAGAGTTGTACAACTGCGATGCATCAGTGATCTGAGGCCCTGCAAGCGGCACTTCTGATTTAGCAGCATAACTCTGCCCTCCCATATTTTCACAACTCTGTTGGAAGAAACTTAAAACTCCAGCAAAGTTTAGTTATTTTTTTAAAAAAACCTTTTAAAATATTATTTGCTTTGGGGGGAAGAATGGGAGAGGAGGACAATCCTGCTCCCTGACTATTTTCTGTGTTGCTACAGAAGTGACAGAATCGCATTGCAATCTGGGGCTATGACTAGCTTTCCGGTCAGTAGCTGGGAAAGAGTTTGTTGTGAAGTGGCAGACTGGCAATGGTGGCACATGTCATAGTGCAATAGGAACTCCCACTAAAGGTGACAGTCCTGCTTCTTTGCTGGTTTGTTACCTGTGTGATAAAGTCCTATAAGACTATATGCAAGGAATAAACCATGCTTTGCATTTATCTGGCTTTTCCTCTTAAGTATGAGAAAATTTGAGCAGATGGAATATTTGCTTTTAAACACACTAGAATTTTGTGTAGGTGTTCTTCCCCCCTACATGTATCTATTATTTACTGCATTTCTATGCCGCCTTTCTCAGTCTGGAGAAAGCCCACTTCCCTAGTATTCCATAAATAAATGGATCATTTACAGCTACACTGATCAATTGGATTTTGCAAATGCACAGGGATCGCTCATATCTAGTGGAAAGATTTTATAAACAAGGACTAAAAAAGCTATTGACTTATTGGTTGCCGAAGAGCATACAAAACATGCAGTTTCACTTCACATGGCAAGTCATTCCAGACTTATTTCATTTAAGAATATGTGTGTGTTTACAATATCTGTTTGGAAGACTGATGTCTGTCTGTTCATCTCTCTCCTTTTTCTCCAGGTGCTTCCCAACCACACCTCCATCTAGTAGCCAGCTATGCTGATCCTGACCTGTGCCTCAAAGTTGCAGTTTCTGGAGGGTCTTCTGCAAAGGAGCCTACCTCAGGCACTTCCGGTAAGATGCAGTCATCCTCCTGCCCAGGTTTCATGACCAGCTTTTCCTGGACAGCTAACAAGGATCTAGAAGGGCATGACTTGAAGTTTGGATTTCACAGATACTTATGGTATGATAATGTGGAAGTGACTACTAATTTTAATAATCAGCTTCTGAGATATGCTTTATTACGAATAAGGAATAGATTTTGGGTTAATTTTAGGAATAAAATTCACTACATTTAATATTATCCTGGAAGAGTTGTGCTCAGCTTTTGCTCTGCGTCAGCCTAACCCCATATTTCTTTAATAGGTTTATGGGGCTGTGATGCACATCAACCGTGGAAACCCTGCTCAGCATGAAGTGGTGGTGGACTCTTGGCCTGAGTTTAAAACTGTGCTTACACGCCCACGTAAAGGGGTAAGTCATGAAATCTAAGTATTGGATAGGATGATTCTTCCCATATAGCCAGCTCCAAGCTGAATGGAAGACTAGCTGAAACAATAATGCAAACCAATCTAAAATATTAAAACAATGTCCTTCTTTGAATTGTTAAAAGCAACTTCTTCAGGCTAATTACAGCCTTCAGTGGATCTCAAAATAAGCTTCTTGAGGTGGACCTTCATCATGGGATTAACCAGTAACACCCAGCAAGTCTCAACTTGTGTGTCTGAATCTCTGTATCATGTGTCCTTCCACTTCAATGAGAGTTTCCCTATATGTATCCTCTCTTTTCCTCTATAACCATGTTGGTTTCAATATATGTGGAAATTTTCCTCTCGGGATGCCCACTACTTTATGCATAATCAATTCACTCATCACTAGCTTTGAGATGCTTTATCAAATCTACAAAATGATTACAATGGTCATCTCCTTCCCTGACACTGGCACTTACCAAAGGAATTCGGTTTTTCTGGTTGGCTTCATTGACTGTATATTTTCATTGCTCTTCAACACTAATCTGATTCATCTTTCTCTTAAGGATCCCAGCCCCACTTCTTGCATCTTGGCAGTAGCTATAATTTCCTGATGTAGCTTTATGCTATCCTCTGCAGGTGGTGAAAGACAAATTGGATTTTTATGCCAATTTGCATGCTACTTTTTATTCAGACATGGACACCTGTCGAGCTCTCTTGGAAAATGAGGACATCATTGACTGGGGAAGAGCTTTTCAGCTGCAAGGTGGGTCCCTGCAAGTGAACAATAAACACATGGGCTGGATCATCCTTGTGATAGAGATGCCGATACAAACTGGAGACTGACAGCACATTTCCCACCCCATAAGATGTTCACTTGCCTACTTGACCCTCACAATTTTAGAACAGGGTACACCAGATCAACTTTGTCAGCAGTTGTTCATACAATAACCCAAGACAGGAATTCTAAAGTCCTGGAACATATTACAAATAATATGTATCTAGAGCCATGTTGATACCTGTCACTGATCCATTCAAATCCATTTATGTACTGTCAGAGCCAGTCATTGAGTTCCTAGAAAAATCTTGCAGACCAGGAAAGAAGGTAACAGGTTAGTAGCAGTTGGCATCAGTGCCATTGAAATATTAATATTTCAAAATTATTTTTTCTTTTGAAGAATTCTACACAGACCCGCATAATGTTTTGGGTGGAGTGTGGTCAGCCTTAGCATGCACCCCAGTGATATACCGAATACTTTCCCCCAGATGTGCATTGTCTATTGAACTGTATATTCTTTATATCTGTACCTTGAAAAGCAAGAATTTTCTACACTTTGAGAGATTAAAGTTGGCCATCTACATTCACAGATTCAATCATCCACAACTTCAAATATTAATCTTATCATTTTATGTAGGAGACACCACTTTATTTCAACATTGTATTTGTATATAACACGACATTAGTGTTCATAGATTTTTGATATCCAGAGAAGGTCCTAGAAACCAATCCCAGGAGATACCAAGGGTCCATTATATTAAGAAATGCCACTCTCGGTTAGATCACTAGTTTTATTTTATAATTATGCTTACAATGGCTATACAAATGCAGTAGTTAAAAGGTTGCCTCTTGTTCACACAGGTATCCAAGATGGGATATATGAAATCACCAAAGATATAGCAAAGACCAGAGGTGTCCATCTGAAGACATACAGTTACTTGCCACTGATGCACCCAAACCCATCTACTCTCTCTGACAGCCGGTGAGTGTGTTTGATCCCTCCAGCCTGCCATCACCTGGCTGCTCGGAGGGACTGTGCAGAGCTCTTTAGTTGAATAAGAGACATCTGATAATTCTGTAACTAACTTATATGATATTTGTAGTAACATTACAGTTGTAGATAGTCCAAACACACAGCAGAAACACTCTTTGTGAATTTCAACCTCAAACAGACTTTTATCCGAACTGTGAGCAAAAGAACCCTTCTTCTCCTGAATCCATGTACCTATTGCAAGGTCTGACCCTATGGGCCTGAAATATTGCAGATATGCTAATAAGAATAATGTCACTTTTCTAGGCTTTGGTCCACTGCACATGTGGTAAAAGTAATAAGGATTTTCCTAATAACAAACTGTGGGGATTCATATCATACCTCCTTTACCAGGCTTAATGGAGCTGGTCATCACATTGTAAAGCACCTGCAAATGAATATCATCCTGCTATGCCTCCTCTTGCAGGTGAATGCACCCAGGCTGGTAAAGCTTGCCATATTTATAACTTTTATGATCATACTGCTAACTGCTGGTTCAGTTCCAATGTCAGGATACCATCACTTTTCTGCAAATGGAGAAAATGGGCTTGGTCACAGGAGGAACATCAATTTGCTAAATAGTCATTTGGATAAAGGGCAAACATGCCAACACAAATATATGCTGAGTTGGAATCAAAATTCAGACATTCAGAATTCTCTGGCCAGCTTGGCCATGGTTCCTGGGAAACTGAAGCAGCTGTAGTGCTAAATGTAATGCTTTGAAACTCTGGCAGGAGGTGAAGTACACACAGTGAGAGAATGTCTGGACAAAAGAGGTTAGTATAGTAGACATTTCTCCACCCAGTGCTATCACTGTGTAGGAAACAGGATTGCCCTTCCTGAATACTTTGGAATACTTCTACTGATTATCATAGCTTGTTCCAAGATGTTTGGACTGTGGTGTTTAGCATTGCCTCTCTGCTTCTTTTTTTAAAAAGCAAAATATTATCAAATATTATTGATTGAAATCATAACGGCATCCAAAAGAAGAACAAATAATACGTGCTAAGAAGGTCTCACTTGTGTCAGATATTAGACCCATTTGTTTGCATACAACACAGCTGGATGATCAGTACAATATTTTAACAATGTGGATAGTTAGGATGCTTCCAGGAAAAGCTTTTACTGTGCAATTGCACTGCCTCATTCATGTTGGGTTACAGATGATGCAGAGATTGTTGACTTCGGTTTCTACCTTTCCTGTGGTTTTCCATTGTTTCTGCTGTCTTTTCCTCCTTTCTGTACATTAGTTTAAATTGTGAGTAGGAGTCTTGTGTATGGAAATCATCTTTTAAAATAATTATAATAATATCTTTATTTATATCCCACCCCATCACCCTAGAAGGACTCAGGACGGATTACTGTTATTTGGCAACAGAAGGGTAATAATAATAGTTCTAGGTAACACCCATATGGAGGTGATCTGTATAGGGGTGCATTTGCACTGTCACATTAATGTAGTTTGACATCACTTTAATGTACATGACCCAATGCTGAGGAATCATGAGATATGTAGTTTGGTGAACCACAAGCACTCTTTTGCAGAGAAACCTAAAGACTTTGTACAACTTTGACTCTCATGATTCCACACCATTGAGCCATGGCTGTTAAAGTGGTGTCAAACTGCATTGATTTGACAAGATTAATGCACCCTCAAACCTGATTTGCATTGGTGAGTCCACCTCTTTCCTTATAAATATCTTTACAGGTAATTATTACAGTCAAAGCCTGGCTTTTTCCCACTTGAAAAAAAGGAACCTCTTGAAAAATGGATCTGCACCAAACCAATAGAATAAAAGTTGACATTCTGTCCATTGTACAAAATACTCCTGTCCCCAAGTTGTGCAATAAACATAACAGTTTATTTCTCCACTCATTTTTCCATTCGTTAAGAGAAAGTAGAAGACTTTCAGCTTGTTCAAGCTCAGGGCTTTCTCCTGAAAGTTTATTCCTACTTGCTCACCCATTTTTACTCCCTTGCCTTTGTATTTCAGGTTCAAAAATGACCTCCTCCACTTTGGCACCCTCAACCAATCCCATGCATCCACACTCAATGATGCTTGGGACTTTGGGGGCAATGATCTGAGCCTGAGCTATGTGGAAAGCTTGATCCGCAACTTCCATACCGCTTGCCTCCTAGATAAGGAAGACCAGTTGGCGGCTTGGTCCCTCAGTGATCCCTATGGTTGCTTAACACATGGCTACACCTTCCCTCAGTATCGGGGACAGGGATGGATTGGACACATCCTACAGAATTTGGGAAGAAAGATGCATGCTCTTGGCTTTCCTCTATATGCTGGGGTTCTGGCTGAAAATGAACCCTCCATACGATCACTACAGAACCAGGGGTTCCATGTTCATGCTGGAACATATTACATGCTTATTTTGACACCAGTCCCCAATCCCAAGAATTAGCAGGAGTCATTTTTCCAGAAATTTGGGGCAACAATTTTTGCAATTATTTGAGAGAAGAAACAAAGAGATGTTAGGCTGGAGTGAAAAGATTTAAAGACTTGTTTTGGTCAAATTCAAGAATGATAATATCTGGGATCTATGGTCTCAGAAATAACTATTTTTGAGTATTCATCAAGGATACAGATATTCCTAAAGAATAATCATGTGGATATGTTTTCAAAGACTCTCTGCTTGATCTTCTCACCACCCTCCTTTTTCTTGATGATTTATTAGACATTTCTTAAAATCTCTTAATTAAATTACTAACAATAACACAATTGTATTATATTATGGTTGTAAATTCATAGAAGGTTACTTAGCTTCTTTTGCAGAATAAGTGTTACTTTTAGATACTGTACCTTTTCTGCTTCACTAAATGATAAAAGAGGAATGCCACATTCCTGCGTTGTAGGTGGTGAGTTGTGACTATTTCACAACATAGTAGTAAGTGGAGGGATGAGAAAGTAAAGTGTTGAAATCTATAAAGTTTAATAGACACATGTACATATAGATCTTCTGGGGAGGCCCTGCTCTCGGTCCCACCTTCTTCACACATGTGATTGGTGAGGATGAGAGACAGGGCCTTCTCAGTGGTGTCCCCTCACCTGTGAAACTCCCTCCCCAGTGATATTAGATCAGCCCACTCCCTCCTGGCTTTGAGACCAAGCCTTCTGAAAATAATTGTAGTGCAATAGATGGATACAGAATATGTGCAATGACTACTGGAATGGCCTCGAATTGCGATTGTGGATGGTGTAATCTGAGGCCATCCACAGTTGATGTGATGTTTTAATGTGGTTTTAATTTTGATTTAAATGTTTGTTTTAATTGTATGTTGTTTTTAGACATTGAATAGTTGGCTTGAGTTCCCTTTGGGGTTGAGAAGGGTGGGGTATAAATATGGTAAATAAATAGATATAGATAAATATCTGAACAGCATGTCACTGAAAACAGGAGAAAAACTGCCCTCAAATTATAGTATAAATATTGATTTGTCATCATGCCACTGCTTTTCTTTGGTGACAGGATCACATAAGAATAGGTGATTCTTATGATGGGTCTCCAATGTCAGTCAAACTATATGTGCCTAACAGCTAATGGGAAGCAGCAGTAGTGGGAAGGTACACTGGAATTTTGCTAGTGTTATGAATCGTAATGTAAATATCTGATATGCAGGATGTATTTTCATTCACTGGACCAAATTTGGCACAAATACCCAATGCACCCCAATTTGAATACTTGTGGGGTTGTGGGTGGTATTGATTTTTTTCATTTGGGAGTTGTAGTTGCTGGGATTTATCATTCACCTACAATCAAAGAGCATTCTGAACTCTACCAAGGATGGAATTGAACCAAATTTGGCACAAAGAACTCCCATGACCAACAGAAAGTACTGTAAGTGTTTGGTGCCCACTGGCCTTGAGTTTTTGGAGTTTTTGGAGTTTTTGGAGTTCACTTACATCCAGAGAGCACTCTGGACTGAATCAATGATGCATCTGGACCAAACTTGGAATGAACACTCATTATGCCCAAATGTGAACACTGGTGAGGTTTGGGGGAAAATACACCTTGACATTTGGGAGTTGTAGGTGCTGGGATTTATCGTTCACCTACAATCAAAGAGCATTCTGAACCCCACCAGTGATAGAATTGGGCCAAACTTCCTACACAGAACTCCCATGACCAACAGAAAATATTGTGTTTTCTGATGGTCTTTGGTGACTCCTCTAACACCGCCTCGTAACCCTCCCAGGGGTCCTAACCCCTAGGTTGAGAAACACTACTCTAGTGTGATGGGGTCCAAAGGACTAGAGAATAAATCAACTACAATTGCATTGAAGCATTCAAATACTTCTTAGCATGCACAGTTCCCATTGGTTGAATCAGCCTGCAGCCTGTTGGGAGTAACCAAGGATAAAACATTTTTTCAATTAGAAAGAACCTTTTGTGAATAGAAAAATAGGTGTTTTATACCACTCAACCACTTGAATAAGCAGCTTTGTTAGTTATGTCCTACAATGTAAATATCAGTAGGTTTATATAAAACAAGTAACTCTCTTTAAAAATGTATAGGGGGATACATCTGCAGTGCAAGGACAGCAAAATATGTGCTTCCTCGGCGAGATACAAGGCCTTGGACAATAGAAAAAGTGAAATCTACTGGCGATAAGATTCTGCCAAGAAAGGAAAGAAATTGGAATTTAAAATTAAAAACAGTAGTCCCTTCAGACTTGGAGAAATTTAATATCTCAGAGTCTTATAAAATCCTACAGATTTTCCAAACAATCCCTTTTTGTTCAGCCTAGACATGGAGACATGGCCTTGAATGTTATCTACTTTCCTAACATTTGCTTCTAAAATGAAAAGTCCAGTCTTTATTCGCCTGTTTTCATTTTGCCAATAAATGATATTCGAATGTCTTGTTCTGAAATATGTGTAGTCTTGACTTTTTGTGCCATTGCTGTTATTGTACAGCTTCAAGTTGCTTAGTGGCTTCATAAAGGTTATGAGCAATGAGCAAGTATTAGAATAATGTTACAATATATGATATAACGTAGGTAATTATGTGTGTCTGTATCCTCATGAAAGAGGCAGAGAAACCATGGGCTGAAATTTGGCAAGCTATTTTACTAATAAACACATTTAAAAAAAACAAAACCTTGAGGTGTGACTCCCTTCTCTCTTACGGATTTTATCAAGTGATTTCCAGTTCTTTTCATGTAAAACCAACTAAACAGAGCTTGGGATTAGTAAGCTACAAGCAACACAATTACATTTCAAAACTAATGGAGTGAATAGGAACATAGCCTTGGTGGGTAGCTAATTGCTTGTGGACCAGCAGTGGTCAATGGAGCATCACTTGGAGCAATAATGGTGTGGAATAGTTTTTGTGCTACAGGAATGTGCCTTTGGAGAGGCTACCCCTGCCTCTCCAAAGGATAAAAAGAGCGGAAGGTGCAGCCTTCAGACCAAATTCCTTGGGGCAGCCACATCCCTGCCTTCGCTCCCCCATCAACGGCCAGCCAGCGAGGAGCAGGTGAAAAGGAGGGCGGGAGATTTCAGCTTTTCCAGAGTGGAAGTAGGACTCTTTTGTCATCCTGCCACCTAGAATCTTAGTGGCCACCCCAGTGGCTTTTGGGTTCTGTCATCACCCCTTCCACGGTTGTTCCTAGGGTGGTGGCCTTGGCTTGCCCATAAACCATCTCAGCTTACCGGCAAGTGATAGCTCACAACTGACTCAGGCTGGGGCTCTTCCACAATCCACTTAATGACACCACAACTGAAAAAAATCTATGTTCCTCTGGACTTTTACCAAACTGATCAGTAACCTAATGTCATCACCAGATAAGAAATGCAATTATTATTATTATTATTATTATTATTATTATTATTATTAATTTTTAGTGCTGCAAAATGGTGTCCTGCGAGGAAGAAGATATCTATGATACCACAAAAACTTCCTGCAAATAAAATTTAAATTTAGAGAATAAAATGAGTTTTATTCATCCATCCATTTGTTTGTTTCAAGGCCGTTTCTCTTGGGATAGGGAGGAAATGCAGACCAGCAACTTCATCAGAAGAAGGCAGAGAAGTGTCTTCTCTCCACTTCTCTATGCTTGATCTTGGTTTTAAATGGCACATTATTTTATTGTTGAATGAATTTATTAATGAATTTGTATAATGCTGTAAAATGATTTTTATTATTTTAATTGTAATTCTTATGGTGTATGTGTTGATAGCATCATATGATGCTTATGTGAGGCCGCCCTGAGTCCCCCTTTATGGGGAGAAGGGCGAGGTACAAATGTATGAAATAAATAAATACATAAATTGAAGGTGTGGACAGTTCTCTCTCAGTGGAATTTGAGATCCAAAAATTACCTCATGAGTACTGGATTTTTAAAATTCCTTACATCAACAACTACCTATGCCATAGCAGAATTTTTTTAAAAAATTCTAGTGGATGCTATTACAATATAAGTACGGAAGAAGGAGGTAACGGATTTGCTCACAGGAAGAATGTGTATCAATGCAAAAACAACGAAAATAAACTTTAACAAATTTGCCATAGTTTTGAAGGACTGAGTCTTCTATATGCCCAGGAACCTGCTGTCAATGTGGAAAGAAAGTGTTAGGGATTTTTGTCAATGTCAAAATTTCAGTGTGTGCATTTTCTCTGGATTTTCTAAACTACTGTCTCTAGCCACCAGGTGCCGCCTTTATCCCCATGAAATGCAGTGATGCTGTTCTTTTTAACGCTTTGCATTTTATTTGGTCCATGAAAAAGGACTGCAAATGCTTAAGGTTAACCCTTTCATTAGTGTTCAACAACAAACATGGAGGAAACTTGGAAACTTGGAAATTCAGGTAAGGATTATATCACACTGTTCATAATAATTTGAAGATCTAGCAATGAAGATGTAGGGACTAACATGTTTACAAGAAAGGTGTGAGACTGCAATTTCATACTTTCCTAGCACTGAGTCTCACAAAATAAGTTCTACAGGAGATCACATTAGGATAGAATGGCATTTTAGGTCCCTCTACACAGTATCTGATACCCCATGCCTCCAAATGGGTGGCAGTAACACTGGGAGAGCCACCTAGGGGCATTGCTTCTCTTCTGGCTGTAGGACGGATTGGGTATGTTCTGTGTTTTGCTGCCTATTTTTGCCATCCTTCTTTTGCCAGGATGACTGGAGAATGATTTTAGTCCAGGCCATTGGAGACCACATACTAGCAGCAGATAGAGACAGTGTTCAAAGTGAAGGTAGATAAGCAACATTGGCCCCTTCCACACACATTTTCACACACATTCCCAAAGATGTATTCACACACAGTACACATGCTCCATATGTTTTACTGTCTCCCTTCCCAACTGATCAATGGAGCTTAGATGTGAAGCAAAACATCTCATAGTCTCCCCACTCAGATGAACAGGGAAGGGGGATTTTCACGGT